AATGAGCTAGGATGGGTGTATCCCAAACCCAATCAGCTAGAAAGGGAGTATCCCAAACCCAATCAGCTAGAAAGGGAGTATCCCAAACCCAATGAGCTAGAAAGGGTGTATACCTAACCCAATGAGCTAGGATGGGTGTATCCCAAATACAATGTGCCAGGAAGGGTATATACCTAACCCAATCGGCTAGAAAGGGAGTATCCCAAACCCAATGTGCCAGGAAAGGCGTATACCAAACCCAATGAGCTAGAAAGGGAGTATCCCAAACCTAGTGAGCTAAAAAGGGAGTATCCCAAACCCAATGAGCTAGGATGGGTGTATCCCAAACCCAATGAGCTAGAAAGGGTGTATACCTAACCCAATCGGCTAGAAAGGGAGTATCCCAAATACAATGTGCCAGGAAGGGTGTATACCTAACCCAATCGGCTAGATGGGAGTATCCCAAACCCAATGAGCTAGGAAGGGTGTATCCCAAACCCAATGTGCTAGAATGGGTGTATCCCAAACCCAATGAGCTAGAAAGAAGTATCCCAAACCCAATGTGCCAGGAAGGGTGTATACCTAACCCAATTGGCAAGAGAGGAAGTATCCCAAACCCAATGAGCTAGGAAGGGTGTATCCCAAACCCAATAAGCTAGAAAGGACGTCTAATAAACCCAAGGTTCCCTGTTAAAACGTCAGTGGTTATGCCATTTTGAGTTTGATATGGATTCAATGCGACATGTACAGTGCATGTCAAAAACAATAATTTGAAGCTGACAAATTGTATAATTTTCATCCATATATGTTTTCTGTAAAATTGAACCAGGATAACAATCAGGAAATAAAATATTTTCACAAAACTAATATATAAAATGAAAGAATATAAAAATAGACTATTGTGATGATTAGACTAATACTGATAAAAATAACAGATTATAACTATTATCCAAAACCCAATACCAAATGTTTGGAAGAAAGGTCAGACTGTACTGCTGATTAAACAGTGGACTTGGGGAATCGAACCCACTACCCCCCCCCCCCAGACGCAAGGCTAACCAATGTACCATCTCTACTAACTATAGGCTCCTACTAAATTTCCTGCACAGTTATACAGTTGAATCATATTTTTGGAACAAGGTATCTACATTACGCTGAATAATGCCAAGAATTGTTTTTATTAACAAAATGTTAACTCACACTCTGCGAGTGCAAAACAAAACAAAACACATCCACGCCTACATGCCATTTGTTACCATTTATCAACAGACTAAAAATACACAAAATCTCCAAAAACAATAATGAGCAAAAAAAACTTTTAAATTTTCTACAGAAATACAAAACTCCATGAAAATAGGTGATTTTATGATTTAAAGGCATGTGCGAGAAGAATCGCTATGACAAAATGAAATCTCAGAAAAGTCGGGAAAATTTGTCCAGCGATATTAAAACACATCAGAAATCTGGCCAATAATAAATAAACAACAACAACATACATTGAACTTTAACACCTTTATAGGCTATAATATAACAAAATAACATTTGTCGTGATTACGAAATGTTACTAAAAATTGAACTGGACAATCTACAGTAAGTTGTTCAACATGTGAAATGAAGCAAAGGTTTTTGTTTTTTTGTATCAAACAACTTCATGAAACTAATCACATTTGTTTAACGCTCAGTCACTTACTTTATGCACAGTGATACAAACAACAGAATCACAGAAAGTGCCAAATGAAATTGTTAGCAAGAAAAAACACAGCACTAAGCATAATTATATATATCAATTGATATCCTGGCAACAAGCCAACCAATCAACTATGATTATTCCCTCGCTATCATTCAACCTCTACTAGGCCCACACTAATTGAACTTCGAAAACATACACGTTTACGTTTTATGGGTTCTGCTGAATACGAAATCACCTTATAGCTGAGATGAACGACTTTAATTACTTTGATATCAGGGACCACAACTACAGCTGCTGACAACACAAGAGTAATAATGGAGGAAACAGCAGTAAAAAAGCAGTAAAAGAAATTTTATGATAACTTTGACAATGGTTAATTGCTATTCAGCAAGAATACACATTTCTTTAAAATAAAAATGTGCTCTTGAAACTGCAATGGAGCGTTACTATGATCACACCTGCCTCTAACTAAAAGCACTAAACGACAGATTTCAGATTTAACCACACACGCGGGCTATATACATTGACCAGAAAATATCAGAGAACATCCATTGCCAGTTTGCATGCATGCAAATGCTCACTTCAAGGGTCCATAGCACTAAGAGCCAAATGATTTCCAGGATATTTCCAGACCTTTCCCAAACTTTCATGCATTCCCCCCCCCAGGACATTTTGACCCTTAATTCAGGCCAACATCATCATCAAAGTTCAGAGGATATGGTAATTCCCTGGAGAAAACAGGCTTTTCTAAAATGAATTAATAACTATGAAGAAATTTAAAGACTTTTTTTTTTATTACTCCTGTAATATAAAGACAACTCAAAAACATTCAAGACCTCAAAAAAAACAAAAGACTTTTAAAGGATTTTCTCAACACTATGAATTCTGACTTCATATGGGGAACAAAAATGATGTACCAGTCAGTGAGTGAGTGAAAACATGTACCGGACAGTGAGTATATGATTTACCAGACTGTGAGTAAAAAAGATGTCCCGGACAGTGAACAAGCAGCCTGTCGGCTGAGATAGCTCTGCTGTTAGCAATGCACATTTCAATTAAAGAACAGAAGATATTATTAGAAAATGAACAATGTGTATAGTATCAAAGCAACGGGACTTTCTGTTTTCAACATTTTCACTAAAAATGACAAAAATAATCATCAAAATTAGATAATTGGAGATACCACCACGAGATTAACAAATCTGAGAGAGCTCCACATGTAGTACCTATATATGTAATATAAAAGCAATTGGACTTGCGGTTTTTAACAAGAAGTCGAAAATATCACTTTTTAATAAAAATGACGGACAATCACTCATATGATAAGCTCCGCTCGACAAAGTAGACAGCGGAGCTAATAAGGCGACAACTACCAGACAGAACAGTATCAAGTGACCAAAAATCATGAATGAACCACATCTATGGAGAGGATTAACATGACCCCCAACGGAGCTTGATAGTTTTGCCTTTACATTAGAAATATGTTACGATGGTTTTGACATTTGAAAAAGAGATGCCTTTCATACTGTTAATAGTACAAGGAATTCTTATGGATCAACTGTATAGCATTGTATGCCAGAAACCTGATATGCCTAGGCCAATTATTTAATATGTTGTTAAGTCTTGCATTAGACAAATAACATTTAATTCACTCACCATTATGAATATTGCCATTTCTCATACCGAACTTAATCATCTTCTCAAATATTACAATTCCTAATTTGATAAGAAACCCTGTTAACTGTAAACTAGTTAGCCTAGATTTTACACAATGTTCCACTCACAATACCCTAAATTGTGATGATGCCTAGGTATGATGCTGGTAATATCTTATTCAGATTTATGCAAATGTAAGTATGTGATGTCATACAAATGGACTACAAACACATGTTCATTGGCCTGTTTAAATGCTGTGCACAAGGTGATTAACAACGCTAATGTTCAGTGTTGATGCAAAACTACTTTCAAAATTGTGTCTGATTGGCTACCCAATCCTAATATCTAACAGTCAGACCAATCAGAGAGCAGCTGCATTGTGTCTGATTGGCTACCCAATCCTAATATCAAACAGTCAGACCAATCAGAGAGCAGCTTGCATTGTGTCTGATTGGCTACCCAATCCTAATATCTAACAGTCAGACCAATCAGAGAGCAGCTGCATTGTGTCTGATTGGCTACCCAATCCTAACAGTCAGACTAATCAGAGAGCAGCTTGCATTGTGTCTAATTGCCTACCCAATCCTAACACCTAACAGTCAGACCAATCAGAGAGCAGCTTGAATTGTGTCTGATTGGCTACCCAATCCTAATATCTAACAGTCAGACCAATCAGAGAGCAGCTTGCATTGTGTCTGATTGGCTACCCAATCCTAACAGTCAGACCAATCAGAGAGCAGCTAGCATTGTGTCTGATTGGCTACCCAATCCTAACAGTCAGACCAATCAGAGAGCAGCTTGCATTGTTCCTGATTGGCTACCCAATCCTAATATCTAACAGTCAGACCAATCAGAGAGCAGCTTGCATTGTTCCTGATTGGCTACCCAATCCTAATATCTAACAGTCAGACCAATCAGAGAGCAGCTTGCATTGTGTCTGATTGGCTACCCAATCCTAATATCTAACAGTCAGACCAATCAGAGAGCAGCTTGCATTGTTCCTGATTGGCTACCCAATCCTAATATCTAACAGTCAGACCAATCAGAGAGCAGCTTGCATTGTTCCTGATTGGCTACCCAATCCTAATATCTAACAGTCAGACCAATCAGAGAGCAGCTTGCATTGTGTCTGATTGGCTACCCAATCCTAATATCTAACAGTCAGACCAATCAGAGAGCAGCTTGCATTGTTCCTGATTGGCTACCCAATCCTAATATCTAACAGTCAGACCAATCAGAGAGCAGCTTGCATTGTGTCTGATTGGCTACCCAATCCTAATATCTAACAGTCAGACCAATCAGAAAGCAGCCTGTTTGTTGACAGATTATTTTAACCTACCATCTGGTTTGTTTTTGTAAGGCACTCTGATTGGCTGACAAATCCTGTCATGGCATTATCAGACTTGAACATTCTCAGTTAAATGACAAACAATTAAAATTAAATCTGTTAGATTCAAAATTACCACAGCTTTTATTTGAATAATTTTCTCGCCAAAATATTAGTACAACATACTGTACATTTTTATGTTGTTTTTTTATTATTTCCTTGTTAATTTTGGACCAAATGGACACAATTACCTATTGACTGCCGGTCTCAGCCAAATTAAAAAAAACAAAAAACAGGTTTATTTCGTGAAAAGTGTCAAAAAGTGATAATTTCTTGACGTGTACTTACAAAGTCCTGACAAGGTATATGAGGTCACATTGCTAGGTAACATCACAGGTCCAGCAAGATCATTGATATTGCTGGCTAAAGCATAATAGAGTTTGAATCCAAGCACAGGAGTAGGTACATTTACTGAATGCATCGACCACTGAACCTGCACGGCACTGGAATTAACCTTCCATAGATATAGCAGTGGAGCTTGTGGGACTAGAAATAAAACAACATAATTATGTAAGTTAATGATACCCAGCGAAACATTGTAAAACTTGTTATAAGTTACAAACAAAACTATAATCTTTTCACCACCAGTTCCTTCTATTCATCAAAATTCACAAAATAGTCCTGTTTATAAAGTCTGCACTTTCCTTCAGAAGATTGGGAAAAGATTGTGGTAAGAAGGTCAAGGGTGATTTTGATTACTTTGCATAATCATAAGTTTTCATGTGCATGAGAAATGATGATAATATATATATGGCAGGCGATAATAGATAAATAGACAAGTAATGTGTGGTGAATGTGTTGGCAAGCAAGATTAACCAAATTATGCAAAATCTACAATGCATGTGCATTTGCCAGCACAATTTGTTGAAATTTGCTCAGCCACATTTTTTATACAACATTTTGCACTTTTTAAAGCAAACTGAGCAAACTGAGATTTAATTCGTTGATCACATACAGGTCTTGATTGAAATTATTGAAAAAAACTTGGTTGATTTATGATACGAGACAAAAATCAACTCACTATTGTAGTCCAAAAATTCTGGTGTTGTCCTGGAGTTCCAAGATTGCGACATGACTCCCTCTCCCACAGATGTTGATGCAGACATTTTCACTTCATAAGTAGTACTCGGCTCCAAGTTTTCCAAAACATATTCACGAATATGACCGCCAACATCCACTTGTAACACCGGTTCATCAAGGTGGTCAGCATATCGGTAATAGATACGATAACTAATGATATTTCCTTTAGCATGCTCTTTTTCTAAAGGACCCCATGTTATGATGATGCTAGATGGGGTATTACTCGACAAGGTGAATTCTGGAGCTTTATCAGGAACTGAAAATAAAAAACAAGTAATTACATTAAACAGCACGAAAGTTGCAAAATGAAACAATTCACGACATAGTTCACTTACTTTGGAAACTACTGTAAAGGGCTTAATTATTCACTGGGTTTTAATTTAGCTTATTTCACTGACTGGAAAATGCGCTAAATTAAAACCCAGTGAATATGTAAAATTTAGCATAGAACACATTATCTAAATGATAAAACTGTGAATTTAAAACCCATTGAATATGCCTGAAATGGTAAATCAGCGAAATTTAAACCCAGTTAAAATTAGTCATTTTACAGTTATATACGTTAATAAAAATAACAAGAAACTGTTGACCATCAGCAATTTTAATACCTGTCATAATTTCTACTGCAGTTTAAACAGCAGTCTTGATTATTTAAACAGAGAAAGTGTTATTTGTGATGAGAAAACACAGTGTTTTGATTGTTTTGAGGCTTGTCTCTTGTGGAAATTTTTATACAGCGAATTTTGATTAACACTGTGACATCATAACTAAATAAAATAATAACGAAATGTGAATAGTGAAGCGTTAATAAGTGGACATACAAATCGAGTATTGACTTACTATCTTCCAGTGTTTGAACGGTGATATAATTTGAAGGATCACCTGCACCACTGGTGACATAGGGGATAATATGAATCGTATAGTTTGTATACGGTTGCAGTATTTCTAATACACAAATCGATTTACTGCCTTCCACAGCCACCTCTTTGTCACTGCCACCTATAGAAACAAAGTAAAAACATAGAAACCTTGATTTTTGTGATAGAAACACGGTAAAAACATAGAAACCTTGATTTCTGTGATAGAAACATTGTAAAAACGTAACAACCTTGATTTTTGTGATAGAAACATGGTAAAAACTTAGAAACCTTGATTTTTGTGATAGAAACATTGTAAAAACGTAACAACCTTGATTTTTGTGATAGAAACATGGTAAAAACTTAGAAACCTTGATTTTTGTCATAGAAACAAAGTAAAAACATGGAAA